TGTTCTACCTGCGAATCTGTCTAATGTGCCTATTTTGGTTGCTTTGTCTGTTTTTACACAATCTGTGCCATTCGACTTTGCTGTTGCAAATGTTGTCCAATGTGTTGGTATGCCTCATGTACCTGTGACTTGCTCTGCTTTAGCATTTCGTGTCAGTTTCTACTCCTACTGTTAGGCCTGAGCATGCTCCAGTTTCTGTGTCATGCACTCATGAGTCTGTCCCTGTTAGCCAAGTCTTCTCGAAAAGGGAAAGACAAAATTCATATTTCAGGTACTGTTGAGGAGAGGAAATTATGGTTTCCACCATCACTGCCCAGCCGCAAAAGTCCACAATGACTCCACCTTGTTCACAGATTGTGGATGTAAATACTTCTCGCCGGACATGTCGCGACCCAGGCCTCTACCACCGCCACCGCCTGCAGTCACCGTTTTTGCCAAATCGTACTACCGCCGTTCATGAGATCACAAACGTGTAAAATAGCTTTGCTACTTTTGTCTCGGCCACAATAGATCATCCATCTTCAAAATTAATTTTGCCATCATCTTTGGTGATAAGGTCTATAGGTTCATTACTCTCTAATTCCTTTTGTTGATTTCATGAATATTTTAGGGTGTCATTGTCTAATGTGTCCTATGAAATACCTGCAAATATTCCTATGTCTAAAGCTGAGATTTTATGTGTTCCTTTACCTAATTTGGTGCCCTCTACTTCAATATCCTTACATTCATCAAATCTTGACAATTCTTCATCTTTGCTAGTGTAATATTCTGCATCTGTGATAGAATCTGTTTCAGGATCAGGGAATTTATCTTTTGAATTAATGGTTCTGTTCCTACATGCTCTCACATTGCATATATGTCTCTTTTTTTTTTTTTTTTTTTGGAGTGTGTCTCTCTATGATTGATTTGCCCTCTATTCCCATTTTTTTTTAATTTTCTAGCAATTAGTCCTTTTCGTTGCCTACTACTCTAAATTGCGAATTGATTCTTTGTGTTTTGTTCTTGACTGTTTTATATGCGTTTACTAAATGTTATACTTGCGTTATTTTGAGTGCTTTTGAACTGATAAACCTATTTTTGCTTAGGTTATTTTATTGGTGTTTCTTGTGTTGCATCTTTGAATTTTCTATGGTTACTTGAATGAAAGTTTGATGCAATTTGTTTAATATTTGTATTCTCCTGTGTTACTATGTGAATGTGTTTTTGTTGGTCCGATCATGACTGTATCTGTGTTTACTTGTGTACTTATTGTGCTAATTGTTATGAATTCTTGCCTGAAGTTGATTTATATGAATCCGTGTCTGATTTTGCTCTATTTGAATCTCTGGCTGAATATGTTTTACCTGAATGTGCTTACTATGTTATTTACCAATTTGTCTTTTTGCGTGACCCAATTGTGTGTTTTTTGTGTTATTTTCTACGATTGTGCTTGAATGCGTTTATTACTTGGTATGTTTTATCTACTTAATCTGCTCCAACTTGACTTGTGCTTATATGTTATTTGTTAAAATTGTTATCACGTTCTGCTTTTCTCATTTTGTTTCTAATCTTCTTATGCAGGTTCAGTCCCATAGGGCACTCCGTCAGACTCAATCCAAGAATATAGATGTTCACCTTTGTCAATTTATTGGCAAAAGGGGGGAGTACACAGGGGTATGAATTAAGTACAAAGGGGGAGTATGGATTAAGGGGGAGTTTTGGTAAAATTGTTGGAATATTGTTTTGGTAAGTTAGAATAAGGGGGGAAAACAGTAAGGGGGGTGGAGTAGTAGTTATGGTTGATATATTGTCTTGACTCTGATTGCTGCATATGGTATATCTTTTGGTACTACTACTCTTCTGGAATATTGTGTGGTAAATCTCTGACTATTATCACTCCCTGATTATGCGATTCATGGTTTATGTCTATTCACAATGAAGCTTTTATTTAGCTTATATCCGTGTATTGTGTGGTTTCTGGGAATAATTCTATTAGTCTGAATCGTGACATCTCATGGGATATTCGACAGTATAGGTTCATTGATTTACACGGATGAAATATGGTCCAAAAGGTTTTTAGTTTAAATTGTTTTTAAGGTATTATTTAGTACACATACTAAGGGCCTTCAATAAAATTAAATTGTTTATCTTATTTTGCCCAAAGTATAAGATACTATAGTTTTACCAAATAAATTGCCAATGGGGGAGATTGTAAGTGTACAAATTTAGTACACATTAAACCTTGGTTGGATAATTTATTTATTTTATTTTAATTATATTTAAGCTAGACTAAAATCCTTTTTGGACCACTTCCTATCAACTAATATTAATTTGAATGGCTACAATTTATTGGTTGATTGAGAATGGGAAGTAAGCAATGCAATGCGTATAATGTGAGGCTTTAAAATCAAATGTGTGGCTTTGGTTCATTGAAGATTATGGGATGCTAATTATGTGGATCAAGTGATGGGATAATTTTTGCTATAAAAGGAAGTCATTCCTTTTTGAAAAGTCACTGATTTTTGGTGAACTACTGTATTGAGAGAAAGGAAATTACTTTACAAAGTTGTCTCATTAAATTTATTCTATTATAATAATTCTTGTGGGATTAAATTTGAGCTACACAATCAGTACCTGGAACAGCTGAAGCTTCGCTTGAAGATTGTTATGGCATGCACGGTTCAGTCTTGAGTAGGTGTTAGGAAGGGTTGTAGTAGTAACGGTTGATAGCCATTTTGTACTTACCTTTGTATAAATTCTTGGTGAACATCTATAGTGGATTTGGCAGACGTGGATTCCCCGCAGACGTAGGATAAGCGCTCCGAACTGCGTAACAATTCTCTTGTGTTCTTATTTTATTTTATGCTTTCAATTTCTGTTATTTATATTTGATTAAATAATCTAATTAATGAACGGGATTGTCGCATAACATAAAATCAAGTAGAATTCTAAGGTTCATCTAGTATTCAAGATTCACGGTGTAATTTCAAGAACTTATATGAGTGTCCTAATAAGCCACAAAAGAAACAAAAATTGCGTAGCCTCTCGTACTTTAGCAGCTTGTCTTATCAAGTTTCACGGGCTTCATGTGCCGCTTGATCGGTTGTGTGATAGGGATAGAGACACGAATGCGATATAATGTTTTCCATGGGCCCCAGTGAATCTGTCATCGCACTTAACAAAGGAACCGATGAAGTTCCCGATCTGCTCTAGAATCACATCCGATGTATAACATATTGGGACGTCGTGAAGCTGCACCCACATATCAATCGAGTCAAGAACAACATCCCCGGGTAGGACACAATAACCCACCTGCCTACAGACTAAAGTGCTATTATCAAACAACCATGGACCCTCATCTAGGACGCGCTGCATGTTCGTCTTATGGTAGAAGACAAACAGGAACAAGTTCGTTGTACCTCAGTTATCTGAACCCCCTTAACCGGACACCAAACGGGTACGATAACCTGCCGCATATACTCCACCTTCACCAACTTGTCGGTCAAGAAATGGCCGACCACCACCCAAGACTCCTCCACGCTGCCCTCAACCACCGCGACGCTCTCTCCCACCAACTCAAACTCGATAGCTTCATCCTCCAAAACCATGTCAGCCCAGCCACCCCACCTTCCGACGCTGACGTAGCCATGCAGATATCGATGTCAACAGAGAAGCAAAAGCAACACTGGAAAACAACAAATCTCAGCAAAGAACACCGATAAAAGCAAGGGAAAGAAGGGAAAACCCCAGGAAAACCTAGGAGGGGAAGCAAACGCTAGACATGCATGCTAGAGAGAGATAATAATCTCATTCAGTTTGATTTGTCTTTAATCAACAAAATTTCAAAATATAACATTATAAGCTAAGTCAATAAAAATACGGAGTAACTAATAATGGAATAACGACAAATAAAACAATGATTCTATTTATATATTTTATAAGAAAAAATGACACATTACCTAAATAACAATGGTTCTTAGAAGGTTATAAACAAGTTTATACAAACGGGTTAACACGATACTATTATCTGGTTAAATGGATTCTTAATATGTTTAATGGGTTAACTTGTTAAGACACGAAATATATCAGGTCCTTAACGGATCAACCTATCACTAATCCCTTATTTTTGTGTCTGGTTTCATGCTGATAATTACCAAGCCTTGCCTAATGCTTGGTAAAAGCCTTATTGTAGTAGTAATTAAAATCAATGTGTAATTGGCTGAAATTTAAAATATGTAAACTCATTGTAGTATTACAAAAGATTTGCACAACATAGGCAAATGATAGGTTTACAGTTACACTATGTTACATAATTATGATAATTACACTATATTACATAACTAGTATTTTGTTTATGCGCGATGCGCAAAAAATAAGTGCCCAATATTAGTACTTTATAATAAAAATTTAAATTTATTTAGATTTTAGATATTTAAATTATTGTAAATAATAATAATAATAATAATAATAATAATAATGTAAATCTTTTTTTATAAATTTAATATTTATATTTTAGGTAAATATTAACATATAACTCCAATATATAATGTATATATATTATTATTGAAGAAGAAGATAAGAAAATATATGATGGATGCATGTGCATGGTAACAATAGTGGAAAAGATAACGAAAGTTATAACGGTATGGGTATGTTCGTCCAAAATATTGTAAAGTACAACTTTTATAGCATAATAATAATAATAATAATAATAATAATAATAATAATAATAATAATAATAATAATATAATAATAATAATATAATAATAATAATAATAATAATAATAATAATACTAATAATAATAATAATAATAATAACATAATGTATTAAAAAAAAAAAAAAGGACATAAATGAAGGGTATAACCTTCATTCACACTTTTAAATTATGATAATCACACTAGGTTACATATTTATGATAATGAGTGTTACATGATAAATTACTAGCTAGAAGATACATTAAATCATAAATCTCAATATGCATAGATTCCTAGCAGTAGAAAACACCAAAAACATTATACCATCAGAGCATGTGCCCAACAGACTTCAACTTGTCATCTAAAAATTGAAAATAAACAATCCTCCAAGGTCTCACAAGAAGCAAAGAACCACAGAACGCCCAAAAGCTCACTGCAAATCCTATAGCCATGCTAACATAAAACCAATCCACTACTTCAGAACTATCATCTCCTTTATTTTCATTTTTTGGAATTTTGCCCTCATCAACACTACAACTTTGTAAGAGTGGAGGGCCACAGAGGTTGTTACCGATGTAGCATGAAGCATTAAAATCTTGAAGTTGAGTACCTGAAGGTATCTTCCCAGATAGGTTGTTATATGACAAGTCCAAAACTTCTAGAGTGCACAGACTTGAGAAACTAGAGGAAATTTTTCCTGAAAGTTGATTTCTCGAAAGATCAAGAGATTCTAAGAATCTCATGTTTCCCATTTCCATGGGGATATTTCTTGTTAAGTTGTTTCTGGCCAATTCAATTGGAATGTCCCCAGAAAAATTGTTACTTGAAAGATCCATGCCAACAAATAACGTTAGAATGATTGTGTAATACTCATACTCTTGCCCTTTGGTCGTCACTATAGCACTTTCACCAAATCCCCATGCATAAGGTGAATAACCTATTTCAAATTCTCCATCTTGAATTGCCTCTTCACTGATCATTGCAATGAGATTTTTAAGACACCAAGGAATCACACCAGAGGTTGTTATTGGAAAGATCTAAAATGCGAAGTGATTTAAGATGGCAAAATTCTAGAGGCAATTCACCATAAAATTTATTTGATCGGAGTCTAAAAATTTTCAAATTTAAAAGTTTAGTCCCCAACCATCTTGGAATCATTCCTGTGAGTCCATTTTCAGCAAAATCAATTTTCAACAATAGGGTGCAATTTTGCAATGATGGAGGTATAGTGCCAAAAAGTATGTTGTTGTGCATATCCAAAGATTTCAACTGATCCAAAAGCCTAATGGAATTTGGGATTCTTCCAATCAGTTGGTTATTGCCTATATTTATGACTTTTAACTGTGGCCAGTGCATCCAACAATTGGGAATTTCTCCAAATAACCGAATCCTCCCAAATGAAGCATTTTAAGCTTATATGGCACATTTTGAGCATGACATAAGAAGTTAGAGACATCTTCTGAAAAGGAATTATTTGACAAATCTAACTCCGTTGTATAGCTAGAGATACGCGGTAAGGAGCCATTAAATTGGTTAGAGCCCAAGTACACAAGTTCATATACTGAGATACTTAGAATTTCACCTCGCAAATGGTTGTGTGAAAGATTAAGGAAACAAAATTCAAAAGATCTCCAAAACCAACTTGGAACCTCACTCTGCATTCCAGCGTTAGATATGTCCAACTCGACAATAGTATATTGATATTGTAACCAAATAGGAAATTGTGGACCCAACTTCTAACCACTTAGATAAAGCTCAAAAAGTTGGAACGGAGGTATCCAATTTAGACTAACATTCAACGTTAATCTATTTTCAGATGCTTGTAAATACCCCAACATGGTGAGATTAACAAAGTGATTTTCCGTCACTATGCCTTCTAACATGTTATCCGTAATGTGAAGAGTTTCTAACATTGGAAATGAATATCCTAAATTCTCTGAAAGTGGTCCATATAACTTGTTGTTATAAAGATTAACTCTTTGCAGCTTGTTGAGTTTTCCAATTGGCTTTGGTATCTCCCCCGTGATCATATTTTCAGAGAGATCAAGGTCTGACAAAGAAGTCAAGTTCCAAAGACTATTGGGAAGATGGCCATGGAATTGATTTGCAGAGATGCCAAGAGTTCTAAGGGATGTCAAATTCCAAGGATCATCAGGAAACGGACTTAAAAAACCACAATCATATAGTTGAAGTGAAATAAGGGTATCAAGGTTGAATATCCATCTAAAAATGACAGTGCTGAATTTATTAATTGCAAGATCAAGAACTTGAAGTGAAGATTTGTTATGGCAGTGATAATTTTGAAATATCACAATCAGTTAAATAAAGCTCACGCAAGGAAGGAAGCATATTATATTAGATACATAATAATCTAACTAATACTGAACAATAGTATACTAGTGATCTGACCTCGTATGAGAGCGGAAGCGTAGCCATGTAGATCTCCAGCCATAGTTGATGTTCCTGTTGTGTTGCCTCTTAACGGTAGACCGTGATGTTCCTGTTGTGTTGCCTCTTAACGGTAGACCGTTAGCCATGTTTTGCCTCAGACCTGACTCAGAACCCTAGATGGTCTATTGGTGTCTACTGAGCAGTCTGAGTACCGTAACTGAATGTGCTGTCTAATCCGTAAACCTGTATCCCATCAATCCAGGTTTATATTAGGCACAGAGTTTGGTTGACTAACAACTACTAGTTATTAAGTCCAACCAGACCACTTAATAAGCCTAGTCAACTTGCACGACTTAATTAAGGCCCTAATATATAATATATATTATTAGGGAAAATCTTACATTCTCCCACTTGGTGCAAGTACTAGCACAACCATCATCAAAGAACAAAACACACGAATCATATTGATACGTCCTCTATTTAATCAGAGTAGTATCCATTATGGTCACATGCATTTTAATTCTCCAACTTAGGTCCTTTATGAACAAACCCTATGTTTATTCTCGGTACCTTAAGGGATGTTTCTCAAAAAAATGTGCACAACTGAAGGAGAAAACACCACTACAAAAAAAGCCTATATAGTGACGGATTTAGCGACGGAAAAATTCCGTTGCTAATGTAGCGACGGAATAGCAACATTTTAGTGACGGATTTAATTTTTTGAAAGAAATGAACATTTAGCGACGGATTAACGACGGATTTGCGATAGATTTTGTGACGAAATATTTCCGTCATTAAATACGTAACTAATCTTAGCGGTAAATTTTGGCGCAAAATATAACGACAGATTAGCGACAGATTATTCACAAGCTAACACAAAAAATTGTAAAAATTGTAATTGTTACAATTAGCGACGGAATAAATAATCCGTCGCTACATAACGACGGATATACAATCCGTCACTAAACTTTGCAAGGCCACATTTTGTGTTTATAATTTAGCGACGGATTAATAATCCGTCGTTAAACTTTATAATGCAAAAAAATGTTATGCTTATAATAAATTATAATGTAGCGACGGATATAATAATCCGTCGCTATGTTTTACACAGCTATTTTATAAAATCTAGCGATGGATTTCGAATCCATCGCTATTTTTAATTTTAAATAAATTATTATAATCCTAAATTTGTAACCCTACGTCTCAGTTGATTGGGGATTATTCGTTAAATAAATAAATCTCACTGCTTATAATACAACAACGAGAGGCGGAGCGGAAAAAAAACGAAGAAGAAGAAGAAATCTGAACACAGAAGAAGAGGATTTCCGATTTTGTTGCAGGAAATCGCAGCACAGAAATGGCGTTCTCTCTTCTTTTGTTTCTGAGTTTGATTTTCTGTGTTATTGTGATGCTAAGCCCCTACTTGGCTTCCGCGGCGGCGGCGGCGAGCGGGGACAGCGAATTGGTGAGCTGGATGATGCCGGCGGGAGGTGCAGGGGCATGGTGGAGTGCCTGTCGGAGGCGGAGGAGCTGAAGATGGAGAACAAATCGAGCCGGCGCATATTAGCCACCACGTGGTACATCAGCTACGGTGAGATCTCTATCTATCTTGTTGGCCGAATGCTTTCACCTGATATCATCAAGACTTTAATGGGCGATGACTTCGCTGCAGACTTCTCAAAGGTAGAATTCTCCACTATGTTTTCATGTTTCTTGTATGAGCCTAGTGCATTGTAGAAAATAGATGGTATAGGAGGTCTCATGAATTTGACTTGTCCATTCTGGTCAAATATAATTTTGACTCTATATAAAGATGGGAGTTAGATTAGTGGACAGTATTTGGTCACATTCTCCCAGCTAACAATTCTGGTGGGATTTAATTGCACATTAACAATTATAAAACAAAAGAATAACCCATTGGTTATAAAACTAGTTTATCCACTGTACTGAATAGAAAATGCTTTATTTTGTTTTATGTTCAGCTGTAAAGTTTGATAGGATGTGTACTGAATCTTTGACATTTGCTAAATGAGAAAGATTGATTGTAATTGGGTCTCTCAAATAGAATTAATATTTCTTTGCATCTGCAATGGTGTATTTAAAGCTCTATGTTCAACAAGACAACAACATGTGTTGACATAAGAGTTACCATGTGTAGAAGCATCAACTAGAATTTTCCTAGAAACTTCTGGATTTTGAATCTTTGCTAAGGAGTAGGATTTCCTAGCGAGTATACTTCCATAAAGAAAATGTTGGTTATGTTTTGTACTTTGTTAAATATTCTCTGGTTTGTCTATTCTTCTAAATCCCTGATGACCAGGTTTGCATTCGCGAACAAGACAATGAAATGTCAAGAAAGTTAATGGGCTTGCTTAGGAAGTACCATCAAAGTGATCAATCATATTATCAAATTATGTCACCTTGTGAGGCAAGGTGAACAACCCAGAGAAGGTTTTTTCCTACTCTATCATCTAGTTGAGTCCCCATGTTTCCAAGCTTTTGTGTTGTGATGCCATTCACTAATTGTTGCTAAGTTGTGGCATAATTTCCATCTTATCAGGGCATTTTTATCTGCCTTTTCAATTGGCAATCATCACATTCACTAATTGTTGCTAAGTTGTGGCATAATTTCCATCTTATCAGGGCGTTTTTATCTGCCTTTTTCAATTGGCAATCATCACAGAGTCAGGTGTTTCGTCCAGTTATGGTCCTTGATCCTTCGCTGAAAAAGAAGTGAAAGTGGGAGTCAATGATGCACTCGGGATCAAAGCCGTGAGGTTCTGCGTCTGTCTGGATGGAAGGAATATTAGGTAGACGCTATACACTTGCTTTGATGCCTGGAGAACAAACAAGAGTCAAGAAGGGAAAGGGGGGCAAAAGAAAAGTAAAATGACCATCTTTGCCTTTCATAATTCTGTGTTTAAAAATGTTGAGTTATATCTTCTTTTTTAAAGATTATGTGTATTGCTATATTTGGCACCATTTCTAATGATGTAACACTTCACGATGTTATACTTTTGTTTTTGTTATTGACATTGAATTTTTTAATATAATATATTTTGTAATTATAGTATTGAAGTATTATATTATAAATTTAATACAGGTATGTAATATTTTGATTAATCGATAGATTTTAAAAAAAAAAAATTAAAATTTAGCGACGGGCAAAAATTGTAGTAAATTTGTAGCTAAATACAATAAAGAACGACGAAATTTTTTATTGCTAAATTAGCGACGGAATTTTCCGTCGTTATTCCCTAACAAATTGGTCATTCGAACGTCGCGGAAAAGGAAATTTGCGACGGATATTTTTAAGTTTAGCGACAGAAAAATTCCGTCACTAAATTCCCCACCATTAGTTGGACATACTAAATAATCAATTTTTGGTTCCAATTAAAGTCCAACTAAATAATGAAGATATAATTCCCCACCATAGTTGGACATACTAAAAAAAACAAAATACATCTTCCAAAACCAAGTTAGAATTTGGCTCAAAAGATACATTTTAGTATTATTGGAATCCAAAAGATGTATGTCAAATCACGTAACTTACTACAGTTAGTCCGAAGAACCGAGCAAGATTCGTGGATCAATTAATAGAAGTGACTAAATTTTGGGAAGTGACTGAAAAACATGTTTTGCCAATGCAAATCATGAAACTTAGAATTATAATTGAACTAAATTATAAATTCTAAGAATTGTGATAAAATTATTATCTAATGGGTTAAGGGATTTATTGACATAAAACTTGCCTGTGGGCTAAAGTTTTAATTCTATTAAATCCAATTAAACCCTTATGATAATATTCTATCTCAATTACTAAAGAGCCAGAAGAATCTAGTGACATAAAACTTGCTTGTGGGCTAAAGTTTTACTCAATTAGATCCAACTGAAAAACGTTATTTATGATGAAACCATTATCAAATGAGTTGAAGAATCAAATGACATAAAACCTGCCTGTAGGCTAAAGTTTTAGTCAATAAGATTCATTGCTATCATTATGATAAAAACTTAAGAGATCATGTTCCATTTCTTAATCCCTGTGGGCAAATTAAGAAATATGACCTAAATTACATCATAAAATTAAACTTCATGATAGAATTGGAAATTATTTATAAATAACCATAAAGTAAATAAATTGATTTATTTCTATCGTCACTGATAAAACTACTAAACTACATTCCGATACATAATTGCCTGTGGGCTAAATTATGACCGTAGTCCAGTATTTCATCCTGATTAATTATAAAAATATAACGAAATTGCCTGTGGGCTAAATTTCATCATATTACATACAATTAATCACAAATGATATGTCCAAAACTTTATGTGATCAAAATAAACCACTTAATATATAATTTTAACAGATTAAGGATGTTGTGGCTACTCCCAAACCAAATTAAAATTATAAGATCACTAGACAATTATCAAATCCTTGCATAAACTTTATGTGATTAAAACTTAATAATCTTAGGTAGCTGAACATGCTGTAGCATTTCCTTAATTAACCAAGATTGAAAACTCAAGATATTTCAGTAAATTAAAGATGCTTTGGCTATTCTTTAATAAACCGAAATAAAATCACATTGGCAAGAAATACTTAAAATTTTGACAAATAGATTATACCAGATTGTGATGGGAAAATCTAAATATACTCCAAGGAAAGGCGGTTAGAGACTAAGTCTCACTGAAAACCAATTCCTTAAATAAAGTATCAATTTAAGGAGACTAATGGCACAAGATGTTCTTAATTCATGGCCATTAAAACTAGTATGCCTCACCGATTCATATATACTTAATGTATAACTGTTTGGGGTATAAACCAGTAAACTGTATGGTATACACCAGAAAACTGTGGGGTTCACCTATGATTAAAGCTTAAATGGTGAACTAAAAGTAGCGGACTAAACGTGCTTAAATTCAGGCACTACCGCAACTAAAGTTTATGCATAAGTCCAACTTAAATAGGAACTAATATAATTCCATCTCAAAGTATGCATTGCTAAAGGCATAATAAAATTGCATAATTTAAAACATAATATTATGCTTAGGACGAATATGCATAAAATTAAACATTAAACTCATATATTCTAAATAAAATGCATAACTTAAAGCAAATTTACAATATGAGATTTTAAAGTATAAACTTAATATTCAAACACCGATGAGTCCAAACCAAAAGAGACCCAACATTTTGAATAATAATGTACTGAATATATAGTTTAAAATTTTTAAACTATAAGCCCATGGTAAAATGTTTTAATGCATGAAGATCAAATTCATGAGAAATAACTGAATTTACAAATTCAAACAATATCAAACCAAAAGGATATGCTATCATTTGTAAATGAAAATGTCATAAACCCTAATTGCATAATTAAACTTAATATTATGCACTTAATGTGATCGAATGCATAAAACAATCTAAAGAGTATGAACCAACTAAAGAATATGAATTTAAACTAAATATTCATTTATTCATATACTTAACCAAATATGGGCAATCATAATTCAAAGAACTAAATGAATTATGGAATTAATGGCAAAAGTCATTTGCCTAGAAAATATGTTTTTTTTTTCCAAAATTACTAAATTGATTCAAAATCACTCTCCATAATCCAGTTGATAATATTATTATTATTAATGGCAAAATTGCAAATAATCAAAATAGCAATAAATAGCCATAATAATATTATCACATTAAGTAGGAGACTAAATATGGAAAAACAATGGTTAAAACCTCTAACACTTATAAATGTTTTCAGATAAAATTTTAAAAAATTTAATAAAATTTGAAGTCCGAAAAACATTAATTCAAGAAAACTATTTTCTTAACTGGAATATTGTCACATAAATTTATTTGAAAACAATTCAAGATACATATCTGAATACCATAACAATATTAGTGTCATCATTAATTAATTATTAATAGTAATAAGTAACATTATAATCACTATTAACATTAATAATAATGACAAATCAAAGTATGGTAATGCACCTTTTAATGTTTCCATTTTCCTAAGGGGGCGTTTGGTTCACGGAATCTTAGATTACCCAGGTAATAGGATTACCTCCAGGAAAGTAATGTGAGATGTTGGGAATGTAAGATTACCTTGTGTGTTTGGTTTGGATAGTGTAATATAATATTACCTTGTTTGGTTCAAGGTTATATTTTAGGTTATATGGATCAATTTACAATAATGTCCTCAATAATATATTATATATATATATATATATATATATATGTATGTATATATGTATAATGTGTGTTATTTATTTATATGTATGAATGTAATCGATGCTTAAATATTAAAAAATTAAATATATATATATTATTATATACATATATTATTATTATTATTATTATTTATTATTATTATTATTATTATTATTATTATTATTATTATTATAAGGATTAGTTAACAAGGGCAAAGTTGGTAATCTAAGATTACCTAAAAAATTGGAGGTAATCAATTACCTTGAAACATTACCGCCACATCAGCTTTCAGGTAATATAACATTACCAGGTAATCTTATAACTTGAACCAAACAAGGTAATATAACATTACCAGACTCAGATTACCTAGATAATCTAAGATGACCTGAACCAAACGCCCCCTAAAGATAAAATATGCAGCTAGTCCAAATTAGCGGTTAACTGTAACTGTAGCACTAATTATCAATAATAACCATAGAAGATAATTAATGGCTAACATTAATGATGCAAACCGCATCTGCCCATTGCGCTAACAACGATGACGATCCACAAGAGAAGAAAAGACTCCAGAATTCTCCCAATCTTCACTATCGGTGTCAATAAACTCGATGCGTCCAATGGTACGTTAAAAAATTTATTGGTAGGACTTAATTACCAACATTAATAGTCATGTAAAATGAAGTGGTAATCATGCCAATGTACCAAATATAGCAGATTACCATTAGATTATAATTATTATGAAAAGTAATAAAATGAGATTAGCCCCTAAACTTAATAACAGTAATTAATAATGCTAATTAATCAATAAGGAAAAATTTTAATTAAGGGATGCCAAATACTAATCTCAATTTTACCACATAATAATTAACCATGACTATTATGATACTTAGGGAGACTAAAGTTAAGGTAATAACCAAATTACCATTATATAGACAATATACCAACTATATTGCTTTTGCCATAAAATTAAAGACTTAATATTATTATTAAGGCCCTGAAAAACTATTGATAGATTAAAAATTTAATCGAACTTAAAAATAGTTATAGTTCTTAATGGCCAAAATAACAATTAAATCCTTAATGTCTCTAAACAGGCCAAAACGATAATTATAGCACTTAATCACTCAAATTAGGCACATAAACCTCAATGACCCAAGTGAATTATAACATGAATAAAAAATGGTCTAAGTACTGAAATAGACCCAAAACTTAATATTATTACCAACGATGAATACCAAAATATGGTAGTTAGTAATAATTAAAACTTAAGAAACATGTTATAAGGACTTATAATTATTATTAGAATATCAAACAAAATGGTGGATCCATACTTTAATGACCCTATATAGGTCCCAAATAGCTTGTTCAAAGTAGGTTCTAAAGTCC